ATATGCTTCCTCTATGTTGCTGCACTTTATCGATCTGTTCTCGTTCTCCGTCATGGAGGGTCTTAAGGTCGACTGGAGTTTTAATTTCAACTACCAAAGAAAAGGATTTACATTCTTGCTGTTGAAATTATGGTTTTACTCTTTTCTATTGTAGCAGTGGCACAATCGTATACATTGAATTGAATTGTATTGAATACTCCATTTCGACGTATTCTTCATTGTTCTCCGTTTCTCTTTGGATAGAATATACTGACATTCCAGTTGAAATTGCACGAACATTCACACTTTCAGCTGATATAGATTAATCAAAACACTAATGTTATTACTAATAATTATTAAAAAAATTGATAATAATCTTTTTTATCATATGATTTTAGAAACCAATTTACATCGTTAATATTATGAAAGTTGATTATGCAAACAAAAAACTAACCATCATGGCACAACAAGAATTGAAATCACATTTCAATAATTCTTATTCTATTATATTTTCTCGAGAATGGAATGTTACATAAAAAATTTCTACTTCCTCCAAAATATGTTATATTTTTATATAACATATTGAATTAATAAATTAGAGTATCAATGTGGAATCTTAAAGAGTCCAAAATGGCTCCAATATATACAATACTACTATTAATGTATATGGTGCAATATAATCTTGCAGTGCTAAAGTATATAAAAAGGAAAACTGACTCAGAGTTCAGTATGGATGAGATATTCTTCTTCCTCTGCTTTATTAATGATGTCCTTATCAGAGGAAGCAAGGCATTCGGCTGAAGGCCGAACGTATCCATAACCAAAGCCGGCAGCAGAATTGCAGTAGGTTTCGACTGTGCCATCCTTTTTATGTAAGTTGATGTTATTAAGCACTATGTGGGTACATGGGACTCGGTCGCTGCAAGCAAATTTGATGGCCTTTTGGCTTCTTGAAGTTCCACTGATGTTACGGTACATGATTTGGCTTATTGCCACTGCTGAAGTCTATGGAAAATGAAAAGAAAAGCACATTTACGATATTTGATGGAGAAAAAAATTTTAACCACAGAAAAGTTGCCTGTTATTCACCAATATATGCACCTGATTTTGGCAAGCTGATGGTGAATCGCAGTAAAATTGGTCGATGATAATGGGGTTTGAAACATCTTGCATCATCACATTTTGGTAGCTTACTGCACGTACATAACCAGATCCTCCCTACAAAACCCAGACTTTCCTTCAATTCTCAAACAGATTATAGATGATTCTGAAGACAAGAAAATTACCTGCCAAGTCTTGATCCTAAGGCCATTGGTTGAACCTCGAAGGAATGCATTATCCAGAACTATCTTTTCAACTATACCGGTGGAGTTGTCCTTCCCAAGACTACCTATGCTGGTGTATCATAATCATGAAAGATACTTTGCAAGTAAGTACAACAGTATAGAATACATATTCGAATCGAATCTTATTCATTGACTGTTGTAATTAATTTCGATAAGAATTTTATACCTAATAATGCACAATGTGCAGAACTACAAATAAATGTTGTACCTGATTCCATGACCAGGTCCGCAATAGATGGTCTTCATCTTGATATTTGAGCTGGCGTTGACAATTGAAACACAATCGTCTCCTGAAAACCACAGTCCAACATCACCATGTTTAAGGAGGTGATAACGTATCATATTGATTCATTAAATTTGTAAATATCGAATCTATTCGAAGTTAAATTAAATACGATATGCATGTTGGAAGGCATATAGAGAGAACCTGTTCCAATTTTGCAATTCTGGAGTATTACATTTGTTGATGCAGTGATATGGATTCCATCAGTGTTGGGACTGTCCTCTGGTGCTGAAACTTTTACATTAAACACAAGTACGGAGTTGGATCGTGAAATGACAAAGTGCATCTGTTGGCTGTTTTGAATTGTAAGGTCTTTCACCCTTATGGCAGAACTTGAATCTATTGTCAATGCCTGTAATTTTATCACATTAAGTTTTCATTTCTACACGTCGTTAATTGCTGCAGACAGTTCACGGTGTTTGCATGATAGATCTATTTATTAGGGATAAGAACCTCACAGTTGGTGCTCCTTTGCATGGCTGGAAAAGGGAAAAAGTAAAAAAATAAGTAAACAGTAAGAATATGGTGATAAAATTAGTTCTTGTTAGTTAAAAACCAGAATAAGTAATGGAAATTACATTGGACTTGTTCTTTTTACAAGATGCTGCCCACCATTTACTGCCTGAGCCATCAATAACTCCACCTCCTTGGAAAAATACCTTGGTTAAATTAGAAAAATCAAGCCAATTCCTTGAATTTTTGGGGTCCCAACTCTTTGGTTCGTCTGGTGCTACAATCGTTCCTTCAATCTGTATCGTTGATTAATGTTGTAGTAGTAAAACACAAAACCAAAGCTTAATCTATTTAAGAGATAAAAGTACCTGGATTACTAACTTATCAGCACAAGGCCCTCTAAATCTTGAAGCATTGACTAGATAACGGCGTCCTTCAGGAACTAGGAACACAGATTTTGGTGTAGAACAAGCTTGTTTCCATGCATTTACAAATGCCTGGAGATAGTAACACAAATGTAGAAAAGAACGTAAATTTTAAGAAATAGGAGAAAAGGGTGCCTTAAATGGTTGTACTCACCTGAGTATCATCGGATGTTCCATCTCCAACTGCACCAAATGCATCCACATTCACAAGAATCTTGTTTGCACGATCAGATTCCCACGATGGCAACTCCAAGAGCTCGAATTCCTCTTTTCCATTTTCTTCTACATCCAAATTCTCGAGCTCCCCAATAACCTCGAATTCTGGAGAAAATTTTGGTTCTGCATTTCTACAATGCACCAAAAGCAGAACCAGAAAGGCAAGAAATAGAATCTTGTCCATGATATCTAGGTAGGTTTTGTATTTGTTATGCTAGATTGCTTTGATTTACATAAATGAAGTGAACCCCATTGGGATATTAATTTATAAGTATGATTCAAATGGAGGGATTTGTGTGGGTACATGGCTTGGCTTGGAAGGTGGACATGGAAGTGTTCCATATGCCTACACTTGAAGTGTAAGATTATATAATTTTGGATGATTTTGCTTTACTCTTGAGAATAGTGGCGCAATGCATCGACATCCCTAGTCAAACTGACTAGTGCTATATAATTTTCTTTTGTGTATTATTTTTAGGTACCTATTCTATTACAGGTTGCCATATAATGTGGTCCATCATATAGGATAATTTGGCATTCATAGATATGAACCTTGACTGCAACTTATAATTTGGAAGACTCTATTGAAGAAACCAGATGGTATAATGTCTAATCTCTGTTTATTCTTTTTCGAACTTTGTTTTGACGTATTTTTGTCATCAATTTTCCATTTGTTATCATATAATTTCTCACGATTTTTGTTAAACATGCTCTATGAAATGAGGAGCACATATCGCGTCACACTTTTGTAATTGTTGTTTTTTCTTATTTAATGATATGAAAAGCAAACAAGTTTTTTAAGTCCTCCCAAACAAACTTTGGATTGAAACCGTACTCAACGACAAAATGTACAAATTAATTAATGAAAAATTGATGATAAGAATGCAACCAAAAATCAAAGTGGAGACATAATCACATAAACATGATAATAAGCACGTGATGTAAACATTTTGTCCCTGTTTGATACAAATTTTTTAAAACTTATTTTTTTTTTCCTAAACTCATTTTCTAGCGACCGTTTCTCTCAATAAAATAATTTTGATGTGGACCTGTAATTTTTCTATACTTTTTGGCCATTCATTTTCCAAAAAAATTAGTTTCTACAAAATTTAGGGTCCGTTTGATTCTTATTATTGTAGAATGAGAATGAAAAATATAGTCGTTATTAAGTCCCACACAAGGGATAGAAATTCAAAATTGATGACTTGATGTGAATGATAACGGTCATATTTTTCATTTTTATGGATGAAAAATGATTATACTAAACTCATTTTCAAACGGTTGTTTCTCCCAATAAAATAATTTTGCTGCCATGCATTTTCAAAAAAATTATTCTTAAAAAGTCTACATTAAGGGTCTGTTCGGTACAACTTAAAATCCAATTAAAATTGAAAATATGATCGTTATTGGGTCCCACTCATCTAATAAAAGTCAACAATAACGACTAATTTTTCAATTTTAATCCAATTTTAAGATATACCGAACAGACCCTAAATATTCCTTTAATGTAATTAAAATTAGTCCAAGAAACAAAAATGTAATGTGAATATATATAATTCTAGAATCCTAACTTTTCCCATTAATTTAATATTAATATTATGAGTTGGGCTCTGCAAGTATGGGCTGCCCAACAGAGCAACCTATCTCCACATTGGTTTGGCGCCAATTTTACACTCCCTTTCCAATCACAAAAACTTGGGAAAATTATATAAAAACAGGGATTTAGTTTGTGATTTTTAAAAGTCAGGTTTTAAGTTTATTTTGTAAAAATCAGCTAGTATATTAAAACCTAATTCTTAACCTAAT